TCTCATGCTTGTGTCAGGCTAATAGGAGAGCCTGGTTGTTAGCTTACCCCCAGTCCCTAGTGAAACAGCTGTGGGGAAAAGATAGTACCAGAGATTTTCAGAGTCTCTCTCATGTGGAATTTCTGTTGTCACTGTAAAAAAATATCACCAGTTTGGTGGCTGCCAACTAGATTGTACGAGTGGAATAACAAGCAGTATTTAGCAATCACAGAAGACATATAATAGGAGAGCCTGGTTGTTAGCTTACCCCCAGTCCCTAGTGAAACAGCTGTGGGGAAAAGATAGTACCAGAGATTTTCAGAGTCTCTCTCATGTGGAATTTCTGTTGTCACTGTAAAAAAATATCACCAGTTTGGTGGCTGCCAACTAGATTGTACGAGTGGAATAACAAGCAGTATTTAGCAATCACAGAAGACATATCAGAGATGAAACTGAGCAGTGTTCTATGCCATTGCATAATAGTCTTTCTTCTTGGTTTAGTAGTTTCTTAATTTAGTGGGTGTTGGTAGGTGGTAGTCTGCCTATGTGTCATATGTATTGTACAACAGGTGTCTTTCTCTGAGATATCCTTCATGATCCTTTCTTTTTTTCCAGATTGTCCCCAGCCACCACAGCCTGAGAATGGAGGCTATAAATGTCACCCTAGCCCTTGCAACAACCCTCTGACTTCAGGCAGTGTCATAGAGTATCTCTGTGTTGAAGGCTACATGCTGAAAGGAGATTATAAATACTTGACCTGTAAGAATGGAGAGTGGAACCCAGCCATGGAAGTCAGCTGCAGGCTCAGCCCAGGTGAGTGCTCCCTGACCCTGGAATTGCCCTTGTGTTGACTTTTCAGATTATCCTTAAACACTTAGTGTGATGCTGAGGAAGTCCACATGGCTTTCTCATTGCTCCAGCAATTTCATAAACACAGCTCTCAATCACAGCTCTTTATGAAAAATGTCTCTTCATTAGCAGCCCATCAGATGCAGACTCAGAGTCCCTAATGCAAAGAGGTAATCCATGGAAAGGAGTATAAAGGAGGCAACTTGTTATTTAAGTGGAGCCTCTTGTTTTGACTGCTCTCATCCCAGAAATGTGGGAAGCCCTGACTGAAGCATTTTCCATGCTGTCTGGTTTTGCTTCTGATGGGTTTGACAGTACATTTGCTTCAGTGATGTACCAGTCTGTCCACATGTGCTCATGTGTGTGAGTATGTAGAGTTGATCTGCCTTGCAAATAGGTTAAGTAACTGTTGGCTTCCTGTGGCAAAGAGCTCAATGGTACTGCTTTTCACTGTGCTGGCAGGAAAGGACATTGCTGACAAATGACTTCTGCTTCTCTCCAAGTGGAAATGGACAGCTTTTGTTTTGTGTGTCCCTTCCAGCTGAATAGAAATTCCTCTGTCAAAGCAGGGAAATAAAAAGGTTTGCAGGAAAATGCTCATCATACAGTTCTTAGTTTGCCTACGACTCTTTTGGTTTTAAAAGTTGGCATATTGGATAAAGGGAGAGCTCCCTTCCCTCTTCAAGTGTGGTTTGTTGATAGAGCCTTACTGGTCAGTAATCCTGAGTCAGCAAGATGCAGAATTAAGTCGTGTAATATGTAAAACAAAATGTGTTAGCTTAATCAGAAGGAAACAGAAAAGTACCTGCTTCAATCTCTCTATGAAGCTCACGGCATACCTGTTACCTCTGGAATAATCTGTCCTGTCCCAAAGACACCATCCTCAAGGTGTCTCTGCCTCAGCCACTCCAATAGCTCCTTCCTGTGATGTATAAGGAAGGGATCTGGGAGTTTACCTTTCAGCAGCTAGATCTTGAAGAGGCTTTTCAAATTCAATATAAGCTTCCTTTCCAGAGCGATCCCCCTTTGCCTTGATGCACACAGGCTGCAGAACAAGGCTGTGCTATTGCAGGTAGTGTTCCCTGGGTGGCAAAAAAGCTGAAGGACTGTTGTGATGAGCAGAAATACCTCAGATTTCTTTAGCATCTTGAAGGATCAGTGGCCTTACCAAAAGCGTGGTGCTTCAAAAGTCTGACCCAGTGAAAAAGCCATTGCTTTCACAACACAAGCTTTGAATCAACTGGTCAGGGTCAGAGATAGCTGGGTCTTAGCAAGTGGGTCTCTTTCACGGGGCTAAAAGGAGGAGGAGTTGGGAGACTCTAAAAAGAAAGGTAGTACATGTCAAAATGATTGGTAAGATTCCACCTGCTCCATACAGAATAAATGAAATCCCTGACAATTTTGTGTAGCTCTGAGCCTGTCAGCCTCGTAGCCTTTTGGCAGTTTATTGTATGAGTTAGCGAGCATCTTTTTGGCGTATGAGCTGGTGAATGTTCTGGACAGTACCCTGGGTAGTGAACCATTTGACAGCATCATGTACTGATGCTGAAGGTGGAGCATCCCTATTTGCCTACCCTCTTGCCTGTTAGTGTACTCAAAGTGCTCTGAGTAATGCTGAAAATTAAAATCCTTACTCAAACCCTATTTGCCATAGGGAAAAATGTGCCAGACACTGTTCTTTTTCCTTGGAGAGAGGTCAAGCTACTTCTCAAAAATTGCAGAGAAACAAGTTTTAAGCAACTAAACCAGTAGGTCTGACCCCAAGAGACAATGCAGAAAATTGCAAACTGGCTTTCCAGCTGAAATGCCTGTGTTGGGTATAGATTTCAGGCTGCAGGCTTAAAACAGTGGTCCTCCAGCTTTTTTTTTTTTTCCTGTTTACCTGTTGCTCTTCCTCTCATCCCTCCTTGCATGTGTCCTGAATTCCCTCTGCAGTTTGCCTGAAACAAACTGCAACAAACTGTGCTCCTGAAGAATGCATTGAGTGTAGCAAAGAGGAATTGAGGAATTGCATAAATGTCAGTGTCCTGTATGTGAAATGTACAATAGTATTTGCTGATGTGGAGGTGAGGCTTTTCAGATCTCTACCAAAGGCATAAATTAGCGACAGAAGCAACACATACAGACAGTTATTTCCTCTAGGGAGGTGAAAGGACTAGTGTAGCCCTCTAGGCATGACATAGAGTGCTCAGCAATGCCAGCTTCAGGCCATTGCCTCTCCACTCCCAGGTTATTCCTGCACATGTCCTTTAAAAGCCAGATTGGTTCCCATACAGTCACACAGCACAGCTGAAGAAGGGTAGAAAGGAGTAATGTGAACAGGGTACGTGTATCTAACACTGAAAACTCAGCATCCTGAAGTAGCATCTTCCCTCTCTCTTCTCAGGCATGTGTGTTTGTTTGAGAGAGAATCTGAATACTTGCTGTGTCTTAATTATACCCAGCCAGGTGACTTCCACCCCCTTTGTGAGGCTGGTACATTAGTCAAGAAAAACTGTTAGTTGGAACTCATTCTATTGTTTGGCCTAAAATATCCTGCTTATTCTGCTAGACAATTACTGGCTTTGTTGGTGACATCAGTACCTTTTTTTTTTAGCTTTTGCTCAACCATATATATCTGTATCTCATGACTCTTACCACCATCTGTCAGTTCCCATGACCTGCTTGCACTACTTTTCTGTTTGCCCTGTGTTTTTCCAAAGGAAAAACATGTATGTGCATGTTTTATTTTAAGTTCCCTTCACAGCTGATGGAGAGGTGTCAGCTTGAGCTGTGAACTGAGATAGCTGATGTGCCGTGACTGTATGGGAAACTTGGGCTCATCACATGTGCACCAGGTGTACCCCCTGAGAACAGGCCATGTGGATGTTCTTCCTTCTCTGTGGCAGGTAGTTAAGGGAGTGGATCATTTTACCTTGTGTTCCCCTTGGTTTTGTAGAAAAGGACTCTCCTCCAACAATTGGAGTACCCACACTGTCCATAGTAGCCTCCACAGCGAGCTCTGTCGCCCTGATTCTGCTGTTAGTTGTGCTGTTTGTTTTGCTGCAGCCAAAGCTGAAGTCATTCCATCACAGCAGGTAAGTGTAGCTGGGGTTTGGGGGTTGAAGGGGCTCAGTAACACCCTGTTTCTTTACAGCAGAAACCCATTAAGGTGTTTGGATTAGGACTTTATCTTCTAGCAACTTACCTCCTCGTTTCTCTATTCCTATTTTAATCGCCTCAGTGACATCTCTGCCCTGTGGTCCAGCAGTAGTCTGAAATGGTGGTCTGCAGTACCCACCTGTGGCCCCCATTCTTGCATGCTGTCTGAGGAGTGGCTTCCTTGTACTTTTCCCTTGCCTTTAAGTGGAAAAAGTTATGATCCCTACTAGCCTGGCTGTAGATCCATCTCCTGCCTCTTCTAGCCTTGGATAGCTACTGAAGTATGTGTCTGGGTGTATGTATTGCATCTCCCCCAGTCTGTTTGATGTCCTGTGGACCCAAATTCAAGCAGTACTGCTTGTTAAAATACATATGCAGGTCTGCCACACTTCCCTGCTGTGGGAGGAGAACCCTCCTGGACAGGGTTTGTGGATGAGAGGAGGAGTGACCCAGCCATAACACTGCTGCCAGCTGGGGTCAGCAGTCACTGTGGGCACTCCAGCAGTGGGAAGGTTGAGAGGTGGGGCCCTGATGGTGTCTGCCCTTTTTTGCCAAAGCTTGACCACTGGAAAAGAAAAATTTACTCTCAGGTCTCTGCCTCATGAGGTTAGGTGATTCATGCTGTGCCAGCTGAAGAGCTGTCTGCCCCTCCCTACCAGAGCTTATCTCAGCCAGCAGCAGAGGCGTCTGAACAGACAGTGCTGGGCGTTGTGGAATAGATCAGTGTACCCAGCTGGAACCAACAGTGGCCGCAGCTCTCTGCAAAGAGCTGAGTCATGACCTTTAGCTTTAGCTATGGAAGTAGGTGAGCAGGAAAGCATTGTAACCTTTTCAGCTCTTGCTGCTAAATCCATCAGGCACTGTGAATTACAGCCCCTGCTCATGTTTATGGCCATTCACAGCAGGACTGCATGACTGTGCTTGCTTGACCTTGTTAAACCACCATTCATGTTTCTGTCTGTTCTCCCCTAAATAAGTCAATGGTGAGAATTAGACTTCTGTGGGAGGTTACTGGAGTTCTTGTTAAAATATTATATATAAAATTATAAATGTTCAACTTATTGGTTTTTTTTTGTTTCTCCTCTCCCTCCTTTGTTTCTTTTATTGAGGCGAGACCAAGGTGTGTCTGGAGATCAGGTCTCTATCATGGTGGATGGTGTCCAAGTGGCCTTGCCATCCTATGAAGAAGCAGTGTATGGCAGCACAGGGAACTTCATTCCACCCTCAGACTCCCGAGTGCAGATTGTGCTCTCGGAAGGAGCTGGACAGAATGGAGCCAGAGAGATGCAGCAGCCGGACCAAGGGGCTCGCAATAGCTTTGAAAGAGAAGATGAAACCCCCGGACATTCTGGACTGTGTGAAGCCAGTGGCTCTCAGCGCTCTGAAACTGTTCTTGTGCATCAGGCTGCTACCTCTTCCTGGGTAGCTGGCATGGCTAGTAGTAGACCTGTACACAAAGAGGTCCAAGATTCAGAAAGCAGTGACATACAGAGCCTTTTATCGCTCACTTCCTCTGAGGAATACACAGATGGTACGTGGCTTGGGCAAGGAGCACTAAAGGTGACCTGTTTAAGAGTAGGTTCTGCAGTTGACTACATAGGATGGAAATGGCAAGGAATGCCCCCACTATGTGTCTGCCACTAGGGCAGGTTTTGAAAAGCAGTGTCCCAGTTTCCATGGCATGTTTCACAACTTAGATGTGTAAGCAGTATTTAATACCTTCTTCTGAAGAATTCAGTGTTCTCAGACTGGGAGCCTAGGACAGTCTGGAAAGTTTGTTGAGGTTCCACTGCTTACTCTTGTTGCCTTATCTAAGGATTTGCAGAGAAACCAGTCTCCAGCATCACAGTGCAAAAGCAGTAAAATAACTGTGTGTGAAGAACAAGTTGGTGAGGACTGGGAAGACATGCATGGAATACAAACCCTCTGATGTTTGGACCTCTTAATTTTTAGACTGTTATAGTTAACAGCTTCCTCACAGTGCATACAGTGCTGCAGCCTTGGCATGCAAGAAGACCTAAAAGGGATGTGCTTGAGCTTATTGTACAGGGCAGAGGGGCAAGTCTGTTAAATGGTGAATCTCGCCGTCCTCACTTCTGTGCTGCCCTGAAGGAGTGGCTTTGCAATGCCAGAGCTGATGTGAAGGTGTAGCTTAAGGTCATATCTGCAGACACTGCTGTGTCTTAGGCAAGAAGTGTAAGGTTGTAGATAGCTCAGGGCAGAATTTCTCCTTTCCCTGGTGTCAAGCCCTTTAGCCATAGTAATGCCATCCAGAACGCTTGCAATAAAAACAGTTACAGGGCATTTCTGCATAAGGGCAGAAATACAACATGACCCAAGATGGGCATTAAACCTCAAGTGCATAAACAGCAGAAATGCAACAGTGAAGCTTAACAAAAAACAGCTGCAGTGTAGACACTAGAGAATGTTTCCTGTGTCATTTTTTATCTCTGCTTGGAAACATGTATTGCTTCTAAGGCTTGTTGTGCAGTAGCAGATTGCCCCTTGCAGCAGGAGACCATAAACCTTGTGTTTGTGGCTCAAAGATGAGGAAGCTGCAGCTACTGGAGGAGGTTGCATTTCTTCAAGTTAGCTAAGGGCAGCTGTGAGTTTTCCATTTCCAACCATCCGTGTCACAGTAAGAAACATGTCTCGGGCATTTTGAGGAACTAAAACATTGATAGGTCATGGGAAAGAGAGAAACCATTATTCTTAAGGTAAGTTATTACCTTCCCCTAAACAACATTGATGAGGCTTTACTAGGAATACTGTATCTCGTTGTGGGATTCCCAGTTCAAGAGATATATGAAGAAACTTCTGTTGGAAGCCTGCTAAGACAGCCAGGGGCTTGTGGGGAGTCACTGAGGGGACTGAGCTTGTTTCATCTGATGAAGAAGTAACTGAGTGCCAAGCCAAAAATTGACTATCATTACTTTACAGTTTGTTCAGCAGACTGTGGAGCCAAGCTCTTCACAAGCAGATGATATAATATGGGGAAATGGCCATAAACCTGACAGAATCACATTTGGTATTAAGAAAATATTTTGGGCTAGGAGGATAATTCAGGACCAGATGGGCACTGAGGGTGGTACCGGAGTCTCTGCCCTTGGAGTATTTCAAGGCTGGAGCTGGTGATGGTCCCACTCACAGAGGCAGGTTGGAGCAGAGTACTCTAGGATTCCCTTCTGCTGTGTTGTGGTGACAGGGAGACCACTGCATTATCGCATTAGGGAAGTGGGAGCCTGTCTTCTTTCAACAGTGGTTTTTCTGGTGTGCATTAAACTGCAGAAGTTTGACTACGTTTTTTTTTTTCTCTCCCCATCATTCAGATATTCCCTTATTGAAGGAAGCATGAGGTCTGCTGTGTTTGTCTAGCCTTCTCCCTCTTGGATTTCTTCCTTCTCCTCTCCCCTTGTCTTTGGGACAGAAGCACTCTGTGCAGTCTTCCCCGTCCTCGCAAGCTGTACCCTGGATACCTCCAAGAAGAGATGCCCTCAGCTGAAGATCCAAAGGATGTCGCCAGGTTGCCTCCTGGATGCACCAGTGGAGTTGGTGCAGTGCTGGCTTCCCCATTCCATCAGCATCAGGGGCTCAAGGAACAGAGTGGATTTGAGCTCTCCTCTCCTCTTCCCCAGCCAGATGTTTGACAGCAGTCTCTGAAGAGCTGCTCTTTTCTTGTGCCTTTCTCCTCCTCACACGGCTTGTCGCAGCTTATCAGCCTTTCTAGCCCTTCTGCTGCCCAGAGACCAGGGGCTAAAACCGCTTGCTCCCTGGGTGCAGACACAGTTTAAATATACATATATATGTTATATAGGCTCTTCTTCCAGCATCCTCTTTGTGATAGGGCAGGACAAAACGCCTCACTGGGACTGGAGTTGGGCTTGGGAGGGATCCCAGTTAAGGGGCAGCTTGTGACGTCTAGCAGCGCCTCTAATGCAATGGGCTGTGTGACAGCTTAGCCATGCAATAACAGTTCAGTGAGAATTGCAAGAGCACTGAAGGCTGAGAAATACTTAGGAATACCCTCTGCCCCCAACTCTGCAGGAGTCCATTCCTGAAAATCACTTTTGTCTCCTTCCTTCTCTACCAGTGCAGACCACTGGAAGTGGTTCAGGTGTTTGAAAATGTCAAGAGAAAAAAATGCCTGTAGGTAGTGAATGACTAGTGCCATTGGTGCAACCCAAATTCCCTTTCCAGCCACAGTAGCTACTTTGGTACTTGAATCCCAGGTAGCTGCGATCTCAGAAGCTAGTGCGTCTTCCTAGCATCGTACAGCAGGGGTCTGCTGCTTTATCCTACTGGGCTCCAGTGGGCCCACAGAGAAGGGCTCCCTCCTTGTGACTGGGGGTAGGCAGCTTTGTAAAGTATCTCCTAAATAAAGTGCCAGCCTGTTGCTGGGAGACAAGGTTGACTACATTGACAGCAGTGCCAGAGGACACAATAGCCTATTCCTGAACCTAAGTTTTGAGGATTGTTTCAAGTTCTGGTAGTACGGAAAAGAAAACACAAAAATAGGTATATGCCTGTCCTCCCTGTCCTCCTCCCCCAGTTACCTACAGCAAGTCAGAGTATCTTGGTTGCTGTTAATAGGACTTTATTTCTCCAGGAAGCCACATCTGTCTGGGGTAGGTGGGCCAATCACAAAAGTGCTGTGGTGGTTGTAATGTTCTTCCCTGGGGAGGTCTGGACACTGTTCCATGGGATTGGTTTCAGCAAGAAGCGTGAGCTTCTTCGATGCATGTACCTTGTCATAACTGTCTTGAAGTAACAGGGAAGTGTTTGCCCTGTGAGAAGCTGCTAAATTTTTGAGTTGAAGGAGCAAAATGTCATGGCCTTACTTATCATGTGGTAATGTACAGGTAAATAGGGATGCTGTCTTTGCTGCTTTGCTTTTGGTTTACAATCCTCACCATCCTCATCCTCGTTGCTATAGGAACATTACGGCACTTGGCAAAAGTTACATGACATCTTTACCTATAAAATCACTGTGGCTTAGCTCCAGTTCCTGGAAATGGGGATTGGCCATAGTATCCAGCCATATATCTGCTGTTCCTTTTCCTGAATAGCTGTTATATCCCAGGACACATGGGACAGTGTGTGCTTGTGGATGGGAGAATCTTTATTCCCTATCCTTGTTACAGAGGGATGTTAACTTAAAAATACAGTGTTTTAAACTTCCTTCCCTATTGCTCATGTTACCTTGCATTAACACAAAGATTTGATAAATCTCATTTAAGTGGTTCAGGTATTTTTTGTTCAGTTTGGATGGTGAAAATCCCATATCATTTTACAGTGGGCTGCAGTCTCAGCTTCAAGCACTGTAGAGGGCAAATGTTTACACATCGGCTGTTGGAATTTTAGAAAATAAGCATGGGAACATTTGCATTTAGTTTTTTGACCCCTGTGTTGGAAATGGTCTAAGCTTGAGCAAATTCTCATTCACTGGTTTATCAGGGCAGATGGAGGGATCGAGTGTGTAGTAGTAAGGGAGTGTGGAGGAAGGAGTATGTGACTTCTTTCCTTCTGCCTAACCAGCTTGGAGCTGGAGTTGCTCTTTATGCATTTAAGGTCCTGTCTGCTCAAACTGACCCTCAGCAATTCAAGGCGTAGAAGTCAGGAATGCGCTGCCTTCCTGCAAGAGGCAGTGCTTTAACCCAGTGTTAGCACTGGGTTGGTGGGAGAAGCAGGAAGCTGATCCCGAGGCCTGACCTTGATCTGCACCACCAGCAGAACCAGCACTGTGTGGCCCTGCCTCCTGTCTCTGCTACTGTAAAGCAAGCAGCTGCCAGTTTGGGAGAGCAAATTCAATTTGGGTGGGGAGAAAAGGAAGCTGCACAGAAGAGGGAGTGTTTTGATTTTGTTCATTTATAAAAATCATTGGAAACAGCTTTACTAAGGAGCAGGAGAAATGTGGAGGTGGAGGGAAATATGCAAGTGTAGCTCTTGTGATCAGGCATAAACAGGCAGCTTCTGTTGGATTTCTGAGGGTAAACCTGCAGCTCCTAGGCCAGTCTCTGCTGTGCTGGCTGGTAACCCCAGCTGATGTTTCCAGTGCCTGCAGAAGAGCTCTGTCCCCTGCAGCAACACTTGTGGGAACAGGCCCCAAGGACCTGTGTGAGTCATAACATGGAAAACAGTTTGGGGGCATCACACTGCTCTTGGGGAGCACAGGGGATCAGCCTTCCAAGATGTAACACAGTAAATGATTTTTGATTTTTCCTGATGGGGCCACAGTCTTCAGACCTTTTTCCCCCATGAATGTCTGGCAAATTAATTCAAAGGAAGGCATTTTTTCTTATTTAACACTCCCAACATAATCACCTCATGCTCTGTCATACATGTTGCATCCTGTGATATTCAAGAACATTAAAATTATTTTAATTATATTGGGGAAAATATAAATAGCACTTATTTTAAAGGTTTGTTATTTTTGGAGTCTTGATAGGTTGGGAAAAAATGGGCATTTGAGAAATTCAGGATAAGTGCAATAGAAAAACCTTCTTGCTTCCTTTCAGTTGCATAGCGCAACTTACTGCAGTGTTTTACAGCCCAAGCATTGCAGAACTGGACTAGCCTGAGAGAACCAGAAAGCGAAGCTGGCAGTGACCCATGGGGAAGTAGAGCAGTCTCCTGTCAGGATCTGCATCACCTCAAATGATGAGCCAGCTTGGACTGTGTCAGAGCCTCCTGCCACCTCGAAGGGGGTCAGCAGCACTGGTGAGAGAGAGAGGGTTTGTGTGCTGTTTTTAAACAGCTTGCATCTCCCCATCGTTAACTGCAGAAGAGGTAAAAACGAAGTCAGGAGGAGAGATACGCTGCAGCTTGTGAGTCTGTGGAGTTATTGCTGTGTTAAAACTTCACAAGTTTGGGAGGAACAAGAGCTTAGAGCATTTTTATCCTTAACCACCAGAGAACTTGCTGTGTAATAGAATGCTTACTCAGCAAGTAGGCTGCTTTTCACCCCTTGGTTATTTCCCCTGAGTTTTCTTCTTGCCCTTTCAGCTCCAGTGTGATGAATTGTTTAATGCATCTGGAGCCTTTATTTGGCCTTTCAGCACGTGGAGAACTCAGGTGTGTTAGGAAGAAATCTGTTCCATGAGTTTTGGGAGGAAACATCCTAAGATGTTCCCAGAGGTGGATGACTTGGGATGATACTGATGAGTGGGGTTAAGAGAGCAACAGGCTCAGCCATTGGAAACAGTCTGGGATGGTTAACTCCTTTGCAGCACAGAAAAGGGAGGAGCACAAGGAGAGGTCTAAGAAGAGCTGTTACTGAAACCAGGTATTCTGCAGGCTAATGAGCTAATGCATTCATCACCACGTTGTAAGGAAGCTTGTGCTTTGTCAGATGATTTAGCAGACACCAGCAGGCTTGCTCTATAAAAAAATAATTTACAACTGGTTGGAGACACTGAGATTTCCTTGCTGACCTTTCTAGAACATATTTACAAAATGTGGTTTTACTGTTCTGATAGCAGTTTAAAACAAAAATCTGCCTTACTACTCTATCCAGACAACTCTTTAAATAAATTTCACTTTGTTTTTTGTATATAACTGCAATAAATCCCATTCATTTTCGTACATCCTGCCTCACCCTATCCTCACCCTTCAGTCCTTACCAGGGAACTGCAGCTAGAGCTTGTTCTTTGTGAAAACCATTGTCTGCAGAACTTCATTAGAAAAGATTTATTCTCTTATGATATGCTTTGCAAGTGCAAAGAGGTTTCCTAGAGCAGGCTGCATCTTAAGGCATAATTTCATACAAGCCTTTTTCCAGCCCTACCACACCAGGACAGAGCATGCCACTTCCCACACTTCAGGGCCCTGTGTTCAGCACTGCTTCCAAACTCGACCCTCTGCAGATGATGTTCAGGTCTGTGTATCCACCAAAACGTGTTCTGTTGATGCTCTGCATATGCTTCCCATAAGCTGTGCTTTTGCTTCTGTTCTCCAATGAGCAAGGACAGAGGCAACTAAGTTGTGCTGGAAAATGTTTCACTTCAGATTCTCAATTTTTCTTCGTTCCAAAAGAAAACAACGTGAAGTTGTCTGTGAAGCAGATGTCTTATGATGGGGGGGTAGACTGCTGGTAGCTGCTGATGCAAATGCAAGGGGAGCTTGATTGCCTTTGTGCATTAATCTTTTCTTTCCTGTATGTGTTTTCTTTTTATCTGAATTGCACCACTATGGAATTATTTGCGGAAAGGTACTCCATATATATGTGGGATTTAAAAACCATAATTAAGGCTGTGCAGGATGTCACTCAATCAGTTTTTATTTTTTGCTTTATTTTATATGTATTTTCTGGTATCCTGTACATTGCAGTGGGTGTGAAGATAGTATTTTAATATTTGTACAAAGTTTAATTTAATTGTTCTATGTATATAACTGCATTTCTAAATTAAAAAAAATCTTTTGAAGTGAAGCTATAATTTCTTGTGCTTTTTGGTTTTTTTTTTACTGCATAGGTCTTCTGGACTGGAAATTTAGCAGATCATTAATGAGTATGTGACAGTAGTGCAATGGCTTTCATGTGAACAGCAGGATGAAGCTAAAGCTGGGCATACTCCCAGTGGCTTGGGGAAGGGAGGTACAAAGTTGGTGTGGCCTTAGAGGGATCATCTATTTCAAATTCAGAAGCAAAGGCTGCCCTCGGTGTGCCTGCACTAGAACTGCATGAGGAATGAGGCCAGGCTGGTTCAAGGGCCATTCTGGGAGAGCTGTGGTTGCTCAAGTGCCACCCAGACCTGTTGTCTTGTCTGGGCTGACCTTGTGGCAGTTGTTCTTAG